TCTTTAAACACTGTTTAAAGTCATTAATAGTTCACGTTTCTACTAGTATATTCAGATAATAATTGATTTGATTTATTGTTAGTTTTTTTTTTCTTTTTCAAATCACATAAATAAATAGCTAACAATTCCTTGAGGGAAGTAATATTATCTTCTCGTGCATCGCAGTGCAAATGCTAGAAATATAATCCATTGCATCCACTGTCAACTATCGTCAAACTCTAATCCTGGCAGCAGAGGCGGCCAACCTGTCCCACCCCGACCCCTCATTACTGATGGGAAAGGTTGTCCATCCCTGCAAAACAGGCCAGAAATTCGCAGGTCAATTTTAACCCTGGGAAAGGTTGTCCGTTTCCCTTTTAAAATCCGTCCATTATAAAGGGGGAATAGTGTTTCCTAGAAGTCGCCTTCACGAATTATAAATAAGGATTGCTACACGAAGGTATGTAGTCACATTCTTTTAGCTCTATTGATATCAAAAATAGGTATTTGAAAGTAAGTAGGTTTACACTTTAAATCAGTTTATCTTTTCAAATTAAATCATAGAGTTGTTGTATTTTTAAACACACGTCAGCACCACTTACTGTTAACGGCTGCATAGGAAGTTCAACCCGATATCTATCTATCCCCTACTTATATATAATTCCGTTTTAAAAACCTTGTTCAACTAAATCTATTTACTGGACCGATTTTGTTAATTAATGGGTCGTTTAAAAGGTAAATTTTTTATTAGGATGCAACTTTTGGCTGCCTTTTTGAGTATTTTCCAGAAATGCATGTTATCAATTTGTAGGAGATTTTATACTCTTTCAGAATATTACCTTCCACTTTGGTAGATTTCCTTACTATTTAAAAGTTATTTGCAAAAAAGCTAAGTAACCTCCAAATTTATAGTGGTGGAAAACAATCTGAGTGATATTTTTGTTGAACTTTGTACAACTAAATCTAGACTTCTACTGGACTGATTCTGTTAATTAATGGGTCATTGGAAAGTTCTACTCATGTAGATTTGCAAATAATCATAAAAGTGTGATTTTATTAAATATTTGAAAAAGTAAAAATAAAATAAATACATTAAAACTGCTATTTCAAGTTTCTGTTCTCAAGATTTAATTCGAAGCCAACTTTTGGCTGCTTTTATTTAGTATTTTCAGTGATTTATAGGAAATTGTATTCTCTTTCACAATATCGCATAACCTTTGGTCGATTTTATAACAATTTAAAAGTTATTGGCAAATTAGCTAAGCAATTCCAAATTAATAGTTATTAGGAAAATAATGAATGAGAGATATTAATGTTAAACTTTGTACAACTAAATGTAGACTTCTACTGCACCGATTTTGTTAAATAATGGGTCGTTGGAAAGCTTAATTCGTGTAGATTTGCAAATAATTATGAAAGTTTGATTTTATGAAATATTTGAGATGAAAAAATACAAAAAACCAATAACACGTAACAAATTGTTTTTTATTCAATTTGTTCTAATTTGTAGCCACCTTTATTGAGTATTTTCAAGAAATAAATATTAGTAGTTTGTAGGAAATTTAATCTTCTTTCAGAATATTACCTTCCACTTTGGTCGATTTCCTTACTGTACTTAAAAGTTATTTGCAAAAGAGCTATAAGTAATCTGCAAATTTATAGTGGTGAGAAAATACTGAAGTACAGATTTTGTTGTTAAACTTTGTATAACTAAATCTACAGTTATATTGGAACGATTTTATTAATTAATAGGTCAATGGAAAGCTTCATCCATGTAGATTTGCAAATATTATTGAAGTTTGTTTCTGTTATGAATTATGGTGAAAATTAAAAATAAAACATGTTTTTCATGAAAAATCTATTGAAAACTGTTTTTCAATTTTTTTTTATTTGTAGGCAACTGATTTCTGTACTAATGAGGTTACATCTGATTTCTGATTCTGAACGCCTTTTTTTGGTATCATCAAGAAATGCATAGTACTAATTTGAAGGAAATTATATTGTCTTTCAGAGTGTCACCTTCCACTTTGATTGATTTCCCCACCATTTAAAAGTTATTTGCAAAATAGCTAAGCAAGCTCCGAATTTATAGTGGGGATAAAATTACTGAGTTAGAGATATATTTTTTTAAACTTTGTCAAACTAAATCTTAAAAGTATGTATTAAAAGACTTAAAAGAGTCAACTAAAAAATAATGTAATCAATCACGCCACTCCAGTTATCGAAACTGAAAACGATCTCACTCTGAAAACGAACACTCTTGTGTGTATCATGTGTTAACTATGAACAGCTGTAATTAATACAAATTAATTCTCTTAATTCTTAATCAGGCATTCGCCTGTTTAAGTGAACATAATCTATACTATTATATAAAAATCTAATGGTGTCTTTCTGTATGTGTATTACTAATAGGTGCAAAAAATACTAAACCAACTGGGCTTAAATTTTGTAAAAATATATATACCTTACCAAGGACCATTATAGGACTATTCTCATTTCGATACTGACCCTAGGCTTTGCCCCTTTGGCTTTAAAAGTTCTGAGATGAAGATTTTAAAAGTAAATATTGATTGGTCTCCATGGCTGAAATGAGAACAATAACAATGTTTGTTTACATTTGCTTTGACAGTTCAATGTAAACAAAAAGAACTGCTAAATTGCATATTTTATAATTTCAGACACCTGATACAAAGAAATTAAATATAATGTTTTCAATAACTATGAGGTAGGTTTATTTTAATCTAACGTTTTATCATGGATTATTTGTTCTAAAACTATGTCAATGATTATAGAAAAAAAAGATTCTATAACAGTTGCTGTATCAACTCAGGATCTGCTTTGGATTTTTTAAAGCGTCTAAGTTATGAAAATATCTAATGTTATTGATATGTTTTCATGGAAACAGTATGAAAATTACAATGTATAGCTGTTTTGTATGAATTTGAAGGCTACTTTAAAACATTTGAACTGCTAAATATGTGTTAGATTAACATAACTTGCACATCACATTGTTTTTTATATGTATATTTAGGTAAATTAAGTTATTGTGTTTTGCTAAACCTATGCTTAAATTAAACTAAAGGATATCATCGATTACTAAATTGTATGTCCTTGATTTCTGTTTTACATTTACTTTATTTGATAAATTTATTATTTGTGTTTTGCCACACCACTGATTAAATTAAAACAAGGAAAATATCATAAAACTAAGCAGTACACAGTGTTCTTTTGTTTCTAAAATCAATGAAATATCTGTAACTATGTTTACTTAATGGTACGTGTGAAAATTTAAAGGCAATGGACGATGAAACTGATTAAAAGAACTGATTTGTATATTAAGTTGTTTGTTGATATTTTTGTAGAAGAGATGCAATGAAACATATATTGTATTTGCTATTACATTTTTTAGTCCTTGATGCTTTGATAATCATATTAGTTTTGTCTGCTGTCTTTAATGCTAAACTATTTGTTTAACAATTTTTATAGTATGGATATAATTTCTTTAAAATTTTAAAATACTGTATTGATAAGGCACAACAATATTTCAAAAGTTTATAACAGCTGACATAGTTTTGCTAATGATTTATTGTGAGTGAAGAAACTGAAGATGGAAGAATTTGTGATTTAATATGAAGAAGAGGGAAATTTAAAAAAATGTCCATTTAAATTTAATAATTAGTATTTGTGCAACTTCAAAATTGAAATTTAAAATGTCAGTAATAAATAAAATATATGTAATCAAGGGAGATGAAGGTAAATCATGTATGTCGAAGTTTTATTCGATGATTTGGTCAGTTTTTCTCATATCAGCCTACACAAGATTTAAAATAATCAAAACCAAAATGTTGGTATCCACTACTTACCAGGTTTAAAAGTCATAACTTAAACGTTTCTATAAAGGCCATAAAAGTTTAATTTTGTCTCTAAAAGCGTTGGCGGATGTGTAACTATTATATGCAACAGATGTAAAGATTGAAATGTTTCTATTTTGTGTCCTCTTCCCGTTGCAAAGCACGGGTTCAACAGCTAGTCTTTTCTTAAAACAAACTTAACATTAGTATCAACAGCAACTGTGTAGGCATATAGATTGAAAAGATGCCACGTTTTGGACCTAAGTTGTAGTTTTTAGGTTATGGAAACATAGTTTAAACATAGGTTGAGGAAACATAGGTTAAAGTCCAATAATTTATGGACTTCAAACTTTGTACCATTATGCAAAGTTTGTGTGTTAGCTTTATTGCTGGATAAAGCCTAAACGCTGTATTAAAATTTTATTATAGTTGCTTACTGTTCTATTTTTGTTGAACAGATTTTAAATTAAATACAATGTAAAAAAAGAAATATATTGATTTTAAGGCATATATAAGGAATAAATAAGGATTTTGATGGCCTGTGGAGCAAAGCCCGAGGACTTTTATTACAGGAATTGGTGAAAGGGAGCGTCTACACAAAAATACTTAATTTTGACACATCGTTTGTAAAAAAAATACCGTCCATTATTAACGCAGGAGTAGTGTTAGTGTTTCGTAGAAATCGCCATCACGTATTATATGCTATACAAGGATTGAATGAAATCATGCAACTCTTTTCTCTTTATCGTTTAACTCCGTCCCACATCAGTAGGCTATAAAATCGACGACCAAAAGAGACGATCAAGCATAGCCTTTGCATCAATCGAAACCAGAACGCGATTCGTTAAACACGATGACTGGTTAATTTGCATTTCCAAAAACCAAACCGACTCATGCCAGCTAATCGTCGGAATCACAGGATACACAATGGTTCTAATCAGCGCCGGTCGGGCCAATCAATTAATGCCGCGGGAGCATCACCGCCATTTTGTTGTTGAGGGGCGTGGCGGGGGGGCGGGGGGAGGCGGTGTCTGATTGGTGTTCGTCACACCTTTCGATTTAATCAGTCTGGAAGGGGCAGGGGGAGCTCAGTGTGTCGCGGTCGTCGTCTAGAGTGAGTGTCTGTGAGCTTCTGTGTCATGTACTATAACTGACCTTTGACCTGTGACCATGGACCTGACCACGCGTCGACCCGACGTTGCGACGCCTTCGGGCAAGCCAAGGGCCGCCAAGAGTGTCTTCTCCATCAGGAGTCTCGTGGAGGTCGAGGAAGACTCGGAGTTGGCTAAGAAACCCGGTGAGTTCTTGAGTAATTGGATCAGAAGTTATTGTAATTCAGCTTAGTACACCGAAGAGACACTGAAATATTTCAATTTGATGTTGAATGCTAGGAAAAATTATTAATCGTGCATGACATAGCTGCATGATAAACTGATAAGATGAAGGTATACAAGAAGATAGGCAGCTGCACACTTGTCTCGTGTCAATTTTGAATTGAAGAAAAAAGGGGGGGTTCGAAGTTTCCTATTATCATCCCCAGAAGAACAATGCCAATTGGCTGAAAAAGATTAGTATAATCTAGGATCTAGCTATAGCTTTCAAACGGCTTTGGAAAAAATCTACTTGTAAACATACAAAAGCTTCGAATGATCCGTATTATTATAATTATTTAGGTGTTCGACGCTTGAAGGCTCCTCATGGTAATTGCCTCATTTTTCTAGAGTAAACATAACCCTATTTGTAGCTCTCATCCTTTTCCAAAATTTTCGCTGGAGGACAGTTAGCTCATAAGTGTCTGGAAGACACAGTCTCCGGTGTAAATTTCGAGTGTTGAACTGTGGTGTGAATGGTACGAAAACGCATAGACACAGTCGCAGTCATGCACCTGCACTACTAAACAGCTGACTGATGTTGTAATATGTAAATAGTTCGTGGTTTTGGTCTTCTTTCGTACAGATACAACTGGAATTTAATTTGTTTTGTCATCGAAGTTTGGAGTTACATTCGGAAGCGAGGTATTTAATTTTTTTTTTTGTTATCGTGATCAATTAGTTAGTTACCCACATAAACTGTTTATTTCATCAAAGAGATGTTAATGCCTTATGTGGACAGAATAGGATAGTTGTACACATTTATAGTTTAAAAACGTCCGTTATATTGCTCTTAACGTCTCTGTTGTCGTTGAAACCAAGCATTAGATGTGATTTAGTAAATTGCACATAAATAGTATGAACACACATTTCTGTGGGACACCTCGCCTCCAACATACAGCAAAATGAACATCGTCTTCCCGTCCCCAATAATAGGAAAAGTGCTAAGCAATGTGCATTTAAAACGAACCTACTTGGATACCTCAAAGAGATCGCGCAAGCAATTAAAATAATAGGACTCGCAATGCAAATAATAGGGATATGATGAGAATTAATCATTTTCACCCTTATCAACTATATATAAAATATATCACGGATTTTAGAGTCACAAAGTGACGCAGGCTGCTAGTATAATTTAAAAAAATTGCTAATATAAATAGTACAATTTGTATAGGTAACTAATAAAATATTGTTATGATAATTACCTGCCATCTTGATATATTGTTATTGCATCGTTGTTACTAATTAAATTTTATTACTGTCAGCTTACAAGTTGTATATGAACTTATTATGCAATGGTTCGTCTGGCAAATAAATAAATACAAATTTAAACATTCGTCAAAGATTTTAAAGATAACATTTAACCAACAATAGCCTACATTGAAAATTCAATGTAGCCATTAATCAACGATCACATAAGACCAAGTAATAATTTGTCTGTTGTCTATAAAATTTACATTATTAATTTTCTATGAAATTCACTTCCAACTATGTAGAATATACGTATTCCTACGACATAAAATTGTTTATTTTCGTTCGTACATTTATATAAAGACAACTTTAATTGATAATTGAACCCAAATTATCTTTTTTTCTGTAGCCTTTATTTATTTTTAACCGCAAAACCCAATTTCTATAGTTTCTTCGAATTATTATAATTACACATATGGACGTATGTCAAAGCAATTTTGGCTATCAATTATCTCTAGTTGTAAGGTATGTCGACCCCACACATAAAGATAACTGTTATTAACTGCATAATTTAAAACAACTCCTGTACATGTGCTACCGCTATGTGTTAGGTTCTTAACGATTAAAGTGGTAGGGTCGAAAACTTTTGCGCTTGGTCTAAAAGAATCATTTTAATTTATCGTTGGTTCCCATTAAAAAACTGGATTTCTTTTGAGAAACTTTTTCGTTAGACTTTTAATCAACGACATTAATATCAAAGTTGGTCAAACATAACAAAAGGAGTTTTAAAAATGTTGCTCTTTTAACGACAAAATTTTTGTTATTATTTCGAATTTTGTTTGTGTCTCCAGCAGTGGAATTTCGTGGGTATTCAAAAACACTCTTAAATAAATAAATCCACCCCAACCCTAAATTTTTGTGCTACACCAGTATCGAACCCGGTACACGTTAGGGTTATTGCCACTATATTTTAACGATCACAACTCCTACGTTTTGCGGCGTTTCCAAGTGTTTTCCACACCTGTACCCGCATCTACCATCTACCAGCACTTCTAGCCTCATTACATTTGTAGTTGCTACGTGAAAATTCAATTAGTGGACAAACCCGGTTAGAATTACGACTTTAATTATACTAAATAAGAGAGCAATGACATAACTCGTAAGTCGCTAGCAAGAGTTGAAGTACTGAAGTACAGTCCGAGTATATAGCTATACCACAGCAGACAGTAGTAGTACTGCTGGCTACACCACCGTACCAAATTGTTGTTAGGTTTTAATGCAATGGAAATGCAGGTGCCCTTATTTTGCCTTCCTTTGTAAGCTATATTGAATATTTTTTTACAAATTTATAAATTCAAAACTTATGAAGGAAAATGGATGAAACATTTAGCAGCTGTGAGTTTTTACGAATATAAAGATTTTAGTCCCTTTACATTTATAGAAACTAAAATTGCAGAGTATATTTAAGTATGTATTCTATAAAGTAAGTTGTTTGGGCAAGTATGATATAATGGTCTACCAAGGATCATTTTAGAGGAATAAAGTTGTGTAGAACGTCACAGCAAAAAGAGGATAAAAATTTGGTTTTAACACTGTATTTCTCTTTTATACTAGACTGTACATATAGCGATGGAAACATAGCTTTTGGGTATTTATGTATAATGGTGTTCAAGAATTTTAAAGCTGCATGAATTCACGCAAAAATTGGCGATTATAGATAATTTTTGACTAAACCTGTTAAACAACGACGTAGGTAAAAAATTTCAAAGTGTTAAATTTCTTGCACAATGTAAAACGCGTGTAAATAAAATTATAATTTTGTAAGTAAATCGTTTATGTTAATTACTTTTGTAACATACTCTATTAATTATTTTTAAAGATCAATTAAATAAAACAATTAAAGGAACAGCCCTATTTCAATAAATGCGGCACTTCTTATTATTGAGCAGTTTTATCGCATGAGGTTTGTAAAAGTGTATTTTACTATACTGAAGCTAGCCTATATACAGTGTGTAAATTAAGTATTGAAACAAATCTGTATTTTTTAAACCAAAAAAGATAAATATTCTGTTTATGACATTGATTGTTAAAAAATGATCCGCAATTTTACACATGAAAAATATTTTTGAACCCCCCTAACCAGGGTAGGGGTTAGGGGTGACTTATTTTTTCAAACAAATGTGTATATTTTGAACCGAAATAGATAGAAATATTCTGTTTGTGGCATTGATTTGTAACAAAGGATCCGCAATTTTTATATAAAAATATGGGGGTGACTTATTTTTTGCCAATAACAACCCCTATTGAGTGACCACTCATTTTGAAGGGTTTGTCAAGACATAATCAATTATGCAAACCTGACGTCGGTGTCACCCCTACCCAAAATGGCATGTATTAAAAAATTTGAGTGGGCGAAAAGAACCCATTTCACCAATTCAAGTTGTTAAATGCCTGCAATTTTGGCTAGGGGTGACATATCGACTTCAGGTTTGCATCATTAATTATGTCTTGACAAACCCTTCAAAATTAGGGGTCACTCAATAGGGGTTGTTATTGGCAAAAAATAAGTCACCCCCCATATTTTTATATAAAAATTGCGGATCCTTTGTTACAAATCAATGCCACAAACAGAATATTTCTGTCTATTTCGGTTTGAAAAATACACATTTGTTTCTATACTTAATTTACACACTGTATTTTTAATAACTGAAGTATATTGCACTTTCCCTATACATTCATTGTACAGACGTTTTTACCGACTAAAAAAGTTCATACAGCTATAAATAGGAATATAAACTTGGATTTGAGCAACTTTGACATTTTTTGCAAAATTAATCAAATTAGTCAAAACTAAAATACAACAGTTGCGTGCAACCATTGGGAATGTGTCAATTTAAAATAATAATTGGTTGTTAAAATAAACACAAATTAGTAAAAATAAGACCTCTAACTAACCAAAACTACAGATAGTATGCAAACTAGTAGTTTGATAAATAACGATAAGATGGTAAAACCCAATTAAAATACATTATCCTGTGTTCAATTAGTCCTCATTATCATAATTAGTATATAATTGTGTGGTTTTTAGTGTGAAGATTTAAACAGCAGTTCAAGGCCATCTCAAACAATATCGTGGTTAGTTAAGGATTCCAAAGTCAATGTTATTTGTAGATTACTTTAGATAAAATAATCGTAAATATACAAAAGATACATTTTTGAATTGGAAATAATGTTGAATGAATATAATTTTCTTTGGGGGTTTTTATGAAATGAAATACAATGAAAATTTAATTATTAATTTAGACATAGAAGATTTGAGAGAAAGCAAAGAATATGTCAAATTTAATAATTCAAATTTTATCTTCAGCAGGATTTTTTATTAAGATTCGAAATTATATATAAATTTAAAATTGATTATTTACCTTGTTGTAAAGCATCCAATAACATTTAATAAATACCACAGGATGTTAAAATACTAGATGACCTTACTTGGTGCAGTTGTAAATATAGAATTAATAATTAATAAAACATTCCACTCGTCATAAAAATTATTGTTAAGAGAAAAATAGGCTTAGACCTGCAACTTCTCCCTGTAAATCTTAACTAAAAAAAACTATGTACAGAAATTATACAATATTGTATAGACTACGTCAATATACAAAATAACTAAAGCAATGTATCGTATATTTGTAGATTTTAGACTTAGAACCATACAACTCTGCATATTGAATCCCTA